CACATATGGTGAACATGGTCCGAAGTGGACATTTTGGTGTCCACCACCAATGGCGGACATTGTCACGAATGGGTTAATTAGATATATAACAGTTTTACTAACGCACGCTGGCAAGCGCACCACGTGTGGAGAAATACGTCTAGCTTACCACCTTTGACATAATACATTCACCTTGTAATTAGTACACTTTTCTCTTCTCATAACGAGTCGCACCTCCTCAATCACACCATTTCGATTTTGAGCGCTTCAGGTGGTCAATATATCCCTCCACCCATTTGCCGTCCTGATATGCGCGCCCGTAGTGCATGTAACAGCAGATAGTTCAGTTTCGATTCTGTTGACAACTGGATGGCTAAAGTGGAGAGCTCAAATATGAGCCTCTGACAATAGAAGTAAGTAGTGGCAGGAAATTCAGTAAAGGTTGCCGTCTACCTGTTTTATCAACTGATATGATTTCCCGTCATCACTGTCCTTATCCCTAAGTATCTATAATTTGGTAGGGTAAAGGCTCTACCACTTTGAAAAACGACGACGATGGCAACGTCCCTTATCAGCCGCATTATTACGTTTTTCTATCACTCAGTAATGACTGTCGGTGCCTCTATCTCACCCCCTATATCACATGCTGCAACTATCGCCTAGCTGATTCTGTGATCCGCATTATGCATGTGATGGTCTTTCCCATCGTACGCCTCCTGTTGAATTTTATCAGCTGCTCAACTCTTGGTCACCCTTCAATGATATTACTGTCCTACGCTATATCCATTCTTGGATGCCTCGCTGATGCTGCATTTTGCTAAAGACTCCTTCTGACGCCTCTCGTCTAACCTTATCAGTTGACATCTTCCCTGTCAACAGTCTTCATCATGGCGGACTGTGGGAGGCGGCGTGAGCAGCGCGGTTCGAGTCCGCGTTCGGCTCCCTTGCTCTACCAATGGCGATCGGGTAGAAATCGATTTAGGAAGGAACAACCTATGATATTAAACGCCGCATGTGAAAATCTCTAACTGCGACCCCACGATATGAAGTGTAACTACCTACATTCCCATCACACCTCCTATATCGTTTCTTGGAAGCAAAGACACTGGCATGGATGCTATGAATTTCGTGACACACACACATCAACGCACACAGGAACACACCATGGACATACTTAACGGTTTATAAAGCAAGATACTTACCGCTTCGACATGTATCACAATAACGAGATAGCCGATATAAGTAAGTCCAAGCGTTGGAAAACACATGTACCATTCAAGGGCTGATAAGGTTGGTGCTCCCAGTTTAGTGAAATCGTAGCTCCATCCAACACCAAATAGTGTGATATTTTGTGTAATACATCCCCAAAGCCAAACTCCAATCGTGTACAACCAGCCGATAATCATGAGAACCTTTAACAGACTTCTCCTCTTCTTGAGGAAAAATTGGAAAGAGAAAAACATTACTGGAAATAAGGCTATCATAACTTGCAGAAACAGTTAGCGAGCTAGTGACTTCCTTTAGAAGGAGCTGGGATCCAGAAATTTTACTACTGGCAGAATCCAAGCATGA